CAGCAGCAACAGCAGCAGCAGCATTTGCTCGAAGCCTGGGCTCCACACACCTGGCCACTCTCATGATCATAAAAATCATATTCTCGATGGATGTACACCTGGCTCTGCATCTGTTTGATATGGGGCCTACGTTTGAAGGGTCAGCTGGGGCATTCGCTTTGGAGTGGAGTGGGAGATGAATCCTTCAAACTGCTGGGGCTTTGGGCATGAACCGCTATGCGGTGGAATCTGAATCGTCGGAACGTCGAAACATGCCACCACGACGGACGGCCCACAGTCCTGCGCGAAACAGCTTCTCATGTCAAGTGCATTCTGCAAACAAAACGCAAGCGACTACAGATTTGCTGTGGCTTTCGCAACCCACTATGCTATGAGCAGGCTGACACGTACCAGCTGGGTTGACAGTCAAGCTATGCATCCAGGTTCGGGTAAGTACTGGCATGCCACTCCCTCGCCCGCACCATGATGCCACATCTGCGGTTTTACCGTTGCTGCCTTGCTAAAAGTCTTGCTGAAAGTCAACGGTACATGCGTCACCAGAACTTCTGGCGCTGCCTGGATATCCGAGGGCACTTTCTCTGTACACTAAGCCTTCTCTGTACACTAAGCCCACGGCTATCACAAGGAGAAGTCACACTTGCATCGTTGTGCACGCCTCTCTCACTTCCCTTTGATGAGACCTTTTTCGTCGAGGAGTTTTTGAAGCTGGCTGCCTGGATACAGCACCTCGCGGTGCTGCCACACTGTCTCACACCTTCCTGGGCCCAGGCATGGTTGGTGCAGGCAAGCACGGCAAAGAACCGGCTCATCCTTGTGCAGGAAGGGGCACCTGCGCCAGTGGTACTGGGCGTTGTGCTCGTTCTGCTGCTTGCACTCTGAGACTTTGTGAAGGACCAGCGGCACGTGCCTGCGGAAGAGCTCTCTTTCCGCCTCCACATGATAGAAGGTGCACCTGCTGCCCTTGACACAGGTGTCAAAGAATTTGCACAAGCACCTCCCCGCTACCCTTGCTTCTCGGTGCGCTTCTGCCATGCTGGGTTTCTGAAGCTCCCTTGGGGCACGGCCTGGCTCCGGCAGCAAGCCATCCAAATCAATCCAATTCATCATGACTTCCTGGACTTCATGGGCATTCAAGAGTCCCGCGCCCAGGAAGTGTTCCTGGATTTCTTGGGTGAAGTCCTTGAGTTGCCTCTCTGAAGCATCTTCGAGGAGAGTCAGCAAAAGGACAGTTTGGTCTGTCTTCGTGCTGTAGGCAAAGACGGTCTGATGCTCCAAGCGCTTCTGCCGGCAGAAGGCTTTCGCCTCCTGCTCAATCCTCACGAGATCAGCGCGGCCCTCAAGGAAGGCCCAAGTCTTTGTGAGATTGACAGAAGCCTCCCGCACCCGGCGCTCGTCGGCAAACATTTCGTTCCACCAGATGTTGAGGCGATCATTGTCGAAGTCGTCCAGGTACTGGATATTCAAGACGCCCTTGCCCGTGGTCTGCTCCAACTCAGCCTCTTGAAGCAACCCAATGCTGAAGCGCATGATGACTTTTGACTTTTCAAGTATGTGCAAAACGTCATGGGACTCAGCCTAAACAAGCAGGTCTGGATGGGGAGTTGACATCAGCTTGTACATGTAGAATGTATTTGCCCGACTTCTTCACCATCAGATCCTCCAGACATCCCATGTTCTTGGGGCCAGCAGGGTTGCTTTGAACAAATCATGCAGACCTCCTGTCCATATGCCTCAACCCGCCAACAGGTGACGAACACGGCAGATCAACACGCCAGGGTTGAACACGACATCTAGAAGGGCCCTCCCTGGTGAACACCTACAACCGTGAAACCAAAAAAAAAAAAGCTGTCTTAACTCCGCAACGACTTTGCTTCTCGGGGCTTGGGGCTACACTATCTCCTTCAAGCCTCCTTCAGGTCTTGAGAAACACTCAAGGGCCTCCTCCGGAAGGCGCGTAGACGAAGCTGCAGGGGATGTGAAGGTCCGGCCAAGCTCCATGAAGCACTCAGGCACCTTGTTGTGCCAATCCAAGAGCTGCACGTCATGCCCGTCTTCCAACAACCAACGGACGATGTCAAGAATCCCTTGGTCCGGGCAAACGATGGTCAACTCGTTAGTGCCAAAGCTCTCATATGGCAGGAAGCCCCTGCAGACCGCTCGGTGTCGAGCTAGTATCCAAGTGAGTAGAGCTCCCATGCGAAAGGCCACCTCTTTGCGGTGCCCTGATGGGTTGCTGATATTGTCAAAGCCCACGCCTGCGTTTTTCAGCCTGAGCTGGACATCCGGTGGGAATTGCCCAAAGACATGGAAGTACCCGCGGGGCTCGCCCACTTGTTGCCTCAGCATGGCGTAGTTCATGCGCAGGGAGCCGTCGCCAAGTAGTGCCCTGGGATTGTCCATGATCACCAGGTGGCCAGGCCGAGCAATAGCAACTTCCATGTCTGCGAGCGACATGTTCTTCTCATTCTTGGGGATCACCTCCGGTGCAGCGGACGACCGTGCGGGAAGCTGTCGAGAATGCTGCGATTCCTTCTTCGAACGAGATCGTGAAGAGCTCCATTCGATGTGGCCTGCCTGCACTGATGGATGCAAGCAGCTGAAACAGTTCAATGACTGCTATTGCTAGAGCGAGGACACATGAAATGTCTTGCAAAGAATGTCAGCATTGCTTCCAAGGAGAACACACAGAAATAGTGGCTCAAGAAACGCAAAGATCAAGAGAAGCCCCGCCCCTTGGAATTTCTCACTTCGGAATCTCCAAGACTTTCGCCAAACTAGAAGCTTGCAATCAAAACAGCCCTCTTGAACTGCGGATGCATTGAGAAGTTGCACTGCCTTCATTAGATCTTTGAAGTGCTGGGAGTTGGAGTCCACGGCCGGCCGCATCTCTCCTTCTGCTCGGCACTCTTCTCCACCAAGGCAGGGCAGGTGAAAGCACACCTTGCACAGCATCTCCTCTCCGTCATGCAGGAAGGCACACATTGGATCCTGAAGCCTCCGCTTGTGTTCCGGGTTCTGGTTACAGCAAGGAATGGTCTTCAGAAGGCGAAGCGCTTGCTTGTGCTTCTTGAAGAAGGCTTGCTCACCGTTCGTATGCCTGTACCCACAGCCGTCCCCCTCACCCTTCGCATAGAAGGAAGCGGCATTCTGACAGAACTCACGATGTCCGCACCTCCGTGTGCTCAGAGCAACGGTCCGCTTGGTCTGTTGCTGGAGCTGTTGTTCTCTGCGCTTCTTCTTCCGCTGTGCTTTGGCCTCGATGACCAGGTTCCACTCTCCCTCATCGTCGGCCTCACGCACAAACTCGATATGAAACTCAACTCAGAGAACAGAAACGCCAAGCGGAAACTTGCAGGCTGCCCTTGGCGCTTGAAAGTTGCAAGGACTAACCAGAATCTGCGCGCCTCCGGTGCAGCAGCGGCCTGCGAAGTTCTCCTGTCGAGAGCTGTGTGACAGGAAGACCCCTCAAAAATTGAGGAAGCGCTCAGTTCACATCAAGAATCTCAAACCCCTCCCCGAGTCCGCATCCTGGCTCTGGTGTTGAGATTCAGCGGCTCCCACGTCTCCTGAGCGCAATGGGTCGCGAGATCTGCCTACCAGGTCGCTACGGCATGAATGGGATCTCTACATCCTACGCCTCAGCGCGCTCTCTCCTGATCCCCATCGGATGGGAAGACCTGCCAGAACTTCTTCACCTGCTTTGGGTCCAGGTTCAAGGCCTCCACGGCTTCCTCCGCCAGCTTCTTGATAGTCTTCGGGTGCATGATGTAATAGAAGGTCAGCAACACCTTGTCCATGCCACCCTGAAGCTCAGGGTCAAAGAGAAGATTGGAGGGCACCTGCATTTCGTGGTAGTGGAAGCTACGAAGCCCCTCACGCAACTCTCGCGCAGTGATCTCATCTGATGGCATGAAAACCAAGGTCTGGTTAGGCCTGGACCTTGCGCGCTGGAGCTTCTCCGCGTCTGTCAGCTCCTCCCGGAAGCTGATGTCTTTGATGATGGAATCAAGAAGGTGGACCTTCACCAAGGGGCGATGAGCCATTTCCAATGCCCGATATGTAAGGTGCAAAGAGGAACTCCAGCTGTAGACATCGACTCGGATGCCAGCCTCAACGGCAAGCCTTACTACCTGGCTGTAGTCCGAGTCGCCGCCGATAATGACATAGCGCCTCCCTAGTTTCTTCAACTTTGAGGCATCCGTCAAGCCCAACTCATAGGAGACTGGGGCCCCGAGGCGGATGTCCACTTTCTCCTCCTTGCCGGTGAGGCTCGAGCGCTCGGTGAGGTCGACTGTGACGCGGTCACGAGCCTCCGCCCGCCGCCAGACTTCATCGCTGGGCGGTGGAACGGAGCCGAAGATGGCACAGTGCGCAAGCGTGCTCTTCTCCAAAACCTTGTCGACAAGGTTCCCGTACTCCAGGCGCCAACTGGGGTCCTGCTCCTTCTTCACCTGCTTGCCGGCAACCTTCTTCCCCTCAATGAAGATGTTGCTGTTGTCCACGAGGACCACAGCACCGGAAATCTGATGGATCTTGTCCATGTGCTTCACGGTCAGCTTCTCCATCCGGAACCTGTTGTCCGCCATTGCGACGGGTGCAACTGAATGCGACACTAAAAGATTGTTTTTGGTCTGGAATGCCCATGGATGACAGATCACCTGTCACAGTTCGCCCGAATCTGTTCTTGCATGCAAGTGGTTTTGGACGAAACCCAGACTGTCTCGCATGACGACTTGTGAAATGTGATCATTAGAAGCGCGACGACTGGAATTAGAGCGCTTAAGGTAAGTATGACTGTCTACGTGCACCACTATGTTGAGTACAGCCGAGCTGGCAGTCAGCGCCACCTTGCAGATGTGTACGTCCGGGCACTTGGAGCACACGAAGTGCATGTCGCCTGGCCTCAAAGTTAAGCTGTTCATCATCCTGGGGCCTTCTTGAGGCCTTTCCTACTTGGTCGTAAGGATCTGAACTGCTCTGGCACCTCCTACTTGTCATGATGATGCCGGCCCTTTCAAACCAATGAGAAGGGAAGTGCGCGTGGGGCACTCGAGAACAAGGTCTGCGCAAACAATGCAAGCCTCAACTACAAAAAAGAAGGGGTTGCTGCAAGCGATATGTATCGCTGCATAAGCCGCAGGCAGAATGTCTTCCTCACAGCGCCCGCACTCCTGTGGGGCAGGCAATCCGCACTGCGGGTAGCAGCGGCAAAAGCAACAGTGAGCACAGCATTGACGACTTGATGGGAATGCTCCCAACCCAAAACACTCTTCACAGGACATACGTGAAACTCCTGCGTGTGGCTGCACATCAGGAAGGTCTGGTACATCGGCAGGCGAGCGTAGCGGTGCAAAGGGCGTCCTGAAAACAGAGCTGCAAGTGAGAGCCTGTTTGGAGGTTGGAGGGTCCCGGTGCTTCGTAACGGAGTATTCCTCAGCCCCCTGCCACATTCGCAGAGCGCTCTCTGGCGAGCCGTCGACACATGACGCTCACCATCCTCTGCTCTCCTTCATAGCTTCATATCTGGAAGAAAGACGAAGAGAATTCGTTGCAGCACTTAGGTAGTGGGTCATTGCAGAAGTAGCGATAGTAGCACTACAAGTAGTGTAGAGGTGATAACCCAGCTACAGTTGCTGCAGTTGGACTAGAGGCAGGGGAGCAAAACCAACAGTAGCCTGTAGTAGCTGTACGCATGCGCAACAGAAAAAATCTTAAGAAGATCGGGCCACACCAGAGAAAGAGCGTAGGATGGCATGGGATAGGAAACTCAAAACTGCTGGTAGGCGCCAGTTGGCGCGCTCTGTTGAGAGGTCGGACGAGGGCGCCTGAAAACCGAACCCCGAAGGAAGCTCCAGACCCACCCTCTGCCGCGGCAACCGAGGGCCGCAGGACCCTTTATCAGCAGACCAACCACAGTGCCCTTCGGACCATGGTGGCCAGAACTCAACAGAGCCCACGGAAAGCAAGCTCTCCAGGAGACTTGCAAATGGCTTCATGCTGCCCTTTATGAGCTGCTTGATTCTGCGTGTGTCTCTCAATAGCAGGAAGAGCTCACGTTTTTACATTGTGCATAGCAGTCAGAACTGTCACGCTCAGCATCATCACTATCATCATCGTGCTGGCAGCCGATCGCACCGGCAAAGATGGGAGGTAGAGTGTTTTGGTGGCGGAGGCCTAGCAGTAGTATCAACAGTACGAGTGCTCGGCGAAGTAGCAGCGGGAGCAGGAGCACCGTGGCGGCGTTGGGGTGGCTGTGGCGACGAAACCGTGCGCGCTCATTGCACACATCATGGCCATTTATCGTTCAACTTAGAATAGGAAGGCAATGATTGTGGCAAGCATGGCCAACAGTTTTACACGTACATGTAACAGGGTCACCGAAGAACAAGAACACAAATAGGACCACCTGCCAAAATCCACATGCTGAGAGTTTGGTAACCCGCTCTTGCTCCTGGCAGCCTCGTCCCACTCAGGTTCATCTTCGAGGATATCCTGCCATAAACCACAGACTGCGCATGACTGCGCAGTGGACCAAAGGCCGTGCATGCTGTTGCGGTTAGCATCCTCGTAGAATTTGCAAGCCATGCTCGCAGTCCAATGCTCGCAGACCAAGCAGCTGCGAGTCTGCTGAGCTAAAAAGTATAGGTGGCAGATCCCACACAAAGCTGCAATGATCTGCTGTTTGTTGGCTCCAGTGGTATTCTCTGCATGCCCGATTGGCTGGGTGGGTAACGGTTTCCGAGGTCATGAGCTGCGAAGTCTGAGAGCCGCAATACACCACACCGCAGGTCTCCGCGCTAAGATGCAGGTCACTGTTGTGTACCCCGGCATGACATGCTCTTCAAGTGCGCTTAAATGGGCCCTAACATCAGAGGCTACCCATTAGATCACTTGGAAGTATCCAAGGCTGCTGGTGCACAAGCTCTCGCGGCATATAGCCACCGATGATATAAACATCCATCATGTAGGGGCCCTGAACAGGGACGTGCGAGTTTGAGAAACGCCCCCATTTCTTTTGCCCCGGCTTTGAGGTTGTAGCGTCAAGAGGCCTGGAGGAAAAAAGCCTTCGACGTCTGTTGCAGCACAAAAATTGGGAACTAAAGCTTGTTTTTTGAATGCTATGCTGTGTCTTTGAATCTGCATACCTGTCATCTGCTGCCAAATGTGTTCTTCTAGGTAGAGCCGGGCAGCACGTCATGTTCGCCTAAAGCGACGCCCCTTCTCAAGATGACAACGCCATGTGCATCTAGAGCACCCTCATTGACTCGAGTCATCTTTCCTGGCGAGGGGATGAAGAGAATAGTGGACGCAAGAACGAGGAGTCTAGAGCGGGCATGGAACTTGCCGGATCCCCCCATGTCGACATCCACATTCACGCGATTTGAAATCCCGCGCCTGTTAGTTAGAAGCCGTTACGGCCCCACACCACGAGCGCGATGGACATTGAGAACATGGAGAGCAGCACAACCTGCAGCTGGCTTCCTAGTAATACGCAATTGTGGACAACAAAAAAATCGCCAGAATGGGCTTACCATAGGCGGAGGCGGTGAGCTAATTCATACTGTAGGTGGTCTGTGTATGTCTGTGTATGCGCCAGTGAGGCTAGATTTGGGAGTGCTTGTCACTTGTTCCTGTTCTAACTATGAGATACAACCCGTGGTCTTCTATCCCATCTGCGTACGCAGAGAGAAAGCCATCTTCTTCCCCAAACCGACCCTCTGGCCTGTAGTACTTGTAGCCATAAGTACTTCAGCTGATGGACAAGGTGCTGCATGGCACTGTCGCAAGAGAAAACATCAAAAAATGCGGCAGCTTGCTCTACTCAACTTAGGGTCATGCAGGGTGTTATCCACCGACAAAATCACTAGTGTTGTTGGAATTCTGTGTAATGTGACGAGTTCTCGTACTTGGTGTCTCTGGCTCTGGGATATGGGTGGACTATCAGTGTTCTGACCCGAAAGGTTGAAAACACTGACCCTTAATCTCAACCCTAGACCCTAAGCCCTAACCTAAATGCAAATCCCTAAGCCCTAATCCCTAAACCCTAAACCGCGTGTCAGCCCATCTTGGCCCAAGGCAAAGGTGATGTTGGGGTTCTCCAGTGGGGAGAGGTCAGCCACGGCCAGGCTGCTAGCAATCTCCGGGACCTTCCCAACAGAAGGCAAGGGCAAGGAATGCACAATGTTTTTAGGGTTTAGGGTTTAGGGTTTAGGGTCAACACCATGCTTTCAGGGAAAGACACAACATAACTACACCCACCTGTGTCCTTATCCACAAGGATTATGAAATCCCTTCACTACAACAGCCGTCAACCCATACGAAGCATCGCTAGCCAACCTTCACCAAACTTACCTTTGGTGAGCTAGGAATGAAGGAATAGATCCTTGTAGTAGTGTCTATATAACCCACTATAATAGTGTCCATCTTCCTTCCCTTCCTTTATTCCCAGCTCACCAAAGGTAATTAAAGTCTCAGAAGTCATCTCCCTGTCCACCTGCGAAGCTGCAGAGTGCGCAGCGTTGGCGACTTCTGGAGCCTGCTGACGAACAAATGCGCTAAATAGTAGCAGTTATATGAATAATAGTAATAGAAATAGTAATAGAAATAGTAATAGTAGTAGCAATAGAAATTAGTAATACTAGTAATATAGAGCCTTTTCGAACCCAGATATGTCGAGTGTTTGTTGGTTTCTCTCGTTCCGAAACATACTTCAGTGCAAAGCCAGCATCTCATAAACACAGCCTCCCCTGTTGCAGCAACATGAGAGCTATAGTCTAAACTCCCAGTATTCCCCCTAATAACCTCTGAAATCGTCCCGTCCTCTATATAAACCCGCTTGGTGTTTAGACTACAGCTGATATCTCTTCAGCTCTACACTCAGAGCCTGGTGCTAGTTCCTTCAGATTGTTATCATGCGTCTTTGGATTCCGGACTCAAAAAATCTTCCCTGGGCCCTACTACACCAGACCTTATGCTCACGAGCCCCTTGCTCTGAAGCCTTGCACGTCCACCCCTCCTGCAGTAGCAGCACCACAGAAATCTGAGAACTAGGGAAGCTGTGTGATAATCCGAACCTAGACCTTCAAACAGTCAAACACGCATCATCGCAAAGCTCAGAAAAGGCCCT